ACTAGTAAGAAATTGTTCTCTAATTAGGAGCTCTCTAAGTTCATCGTACTCCTGCGCTGTCCCTGAAAGCTCTATCCATCTGTCGAAATAATGGCTAAGTCGTGCGGCGTACTGTGTAGCCGTCTCACCATCAGCTGGCATTCCTGTCCAAAATCTGTCCCGGAATCCTTCTACAGTAAATCTAAATCGCTTCAGCAAAGCAGTTTTTACCTTTGCATAGTTGGCTGCATCAGTCGGCGTCAACCTACCGTACACACTGAGCGCTTCACCACTCAAGCAAGTACTCAAAGAAGTTGCCCATTGATGTTCCGGCCAATTCTGGCTCTTCGCAATCGTCTCAAATCTGTGAAGGTACGCGTCAAGGTCGTCCTTCCTCTCATCAAACGCTACGAGCAGCTTGCTTGGGTTCAAGCGGAAGCCATGATCTTCCCGTTCGCTGCTTTCAACTCTAGGTTGGACGGGAGTTTCACTTCGCTGTTGCCAACGGAGCCGCTCGAGTTTTATCTCGTGCTGTCACTGCCGTTCCCTTTCCTCTCTTTCTTCTTTCGCCCTCTCAGCTGCCAGTCTTTCTCTCTCCAGCTCCAACTTCAATTGCTGCTCTCTTTCTTCTCTCGCCAATTCGGCTGCCAACTTTTCTCTCTCCAACTCAGCTGCTTTTTCTTCCTTGGCCCTCTCAGCTGCCGACCTCTCTCGTTCCAACTCAGCTGCTTTTTCTTCCTTGGCCCTCTCTTTTTCTTCTTTTTCCTTCTGGGTGACCCACTTCCGTAGTTCGGCGCCAGAACGACCCATCTTCTCACCAAGAGCGACTAACTTTTCGAGATCCATGGTGTCTCGCAACTCGCAAATAAAACCTTGCCGCGTGCAAAAAGTATCTGCCTAAATCAGTCTATCGGAACACTCCCCTGCACTCGAACGAGAACACTGAACGACACACAAAATCGTTCCGATAGCACTATCAATAACTCGAGGCTCTTTCTCACTACTTTGGACACACTGTGCACCAAAAGGTCCTGTGTCGCGGACGCCAGATTAATTGTCACACATGTCCCGTTTATTAGGGGAGGCGATCGCCGGGCTAATTCCAAGGGCCGAAGTATTGGCCCCCCGAACCGCACCACGAAAGCGTGGACAATTTAGAAGTGGTCCTTTTTGGCGCGCCAGCGGACGCCGGTTGTGGCCCAAAGAACAAGTCAGAGCCGAGAGTTGATAAACAAAACAAATATTATATTCTCAAAAATGGCAGATCGAAAACAATACACAAGAATGCACACTCCACAATAGTTACATACAATACGTCACCAATCAAACAACGTACTACAAAGTACAATCAACCACTCTCGAAACAACGGACACAGACAACAATACGCACTACAATGCAGTCGCATGCATAGAACAACCAAGACACTTAAAGACTAAAGGGAAAGAAAACCTATTCAGTCCAAAGTTCTTGGAACCAAAGTCTAGATGATACTCTTCGGAGAATCCCTCACTCAAAGTCCAGCGTTGTTGTCGTTCCGCAGCTCTCGAAGTTTCTCTTCCAGGAAACCTCCCGTCTTCAATAGGCCACTCTCCAAGCTTCAAACTTCTTCGCCCGAATACGTCGGCTTCACACACGCAGCTGTCGCCACGCGTCTTCGCTCGATAGTGGTAAACACACACTCTTGCCTGTAGCTCGAGTCGTCACCCCTCAGGTGGAAATCCTCTTCATCTCCTGCTTTGTCTCTACGGACAAAACCTTCGCCGACTACACGGCGGAATCCCTACGCGCTCTGGCGTTAACTTCCGTCTTCTTCTGATCTCTCATCTCGGCCGCTCGGTTAAATACCTTGCGCGCGACATTCCAAAAGGTTCTCGTCATTTCGTCGGCGCGATACGCAGCGAAGGCTGGGAAGAGGGCGAGACGGTTGGAATGCCCTCCGCGGCCGATGACTCAACTCGGTATGACCACGCCCCTTTCGTTCGAGAAGTTTCGCGGGCTATCTCGTGGGGTGAGGAGGTTCCTCGGCGAAGCCACGCTTCCGAGGGGAAAGCGCGCTCCCGGGGAGCCTTGGATGTTTGTTTTCTTTTTTTTTTCTTTTGACCTCCTGGCGTCTCTTTCGCGCGTTACCGCAAGAATTTGGTGGCGCGCCCATTTTTAGCGCTCGTTCTGTGACAACGTGCAAGAAATGATTATGCAATCATATGGCAGTGTTGGGCTCACTTGCTAAATAAAAAAATTCAATAGGCACTTAAAAATACTGCGACCAATCCTCTACACGCCTTTATTAGGCCTGGAAGATCTGGCTAAAACACTCACCTCCGAGGCACAGAACCAACTCAAGAGACATATCACACCAATATCCAAAATAATGGTAATTCAATTCCTCATTTTTCATTGTTAGGCACAATAGGAATGAGAATAGATTTCACTGTCGGTTAGTGCCTTAAACTTTGTGTCTCCAGCAAATAGTATCTAATTGTTGTTGCTGTGCTGGCGTGTGCGTTGAACACGTTGAATCCCCGCCCCCCAAACAGTGACTTACATATGAACCCACCCAACAACTTGATCGCTTTACAATTTTCAGTTTGCGACGTGAGACAAATCATTCACCCTAGAACATTTTCACATGGTGCGTGTATTTATGCAGTTGCTCTGAAAAAGGGTGTGTACATCGCCACAAGGGTGGTAATGGCCTTCTGAACTTTTGCATACAGCTCGTGCTTTGTTGAAGCGAAACGCCCTCATTGGCTCATTGCTGCAGATACTCCCGAAGACGTTTTAGAGTGTTGGGTGCACTTTATGTCAACCTTGCATGTTGTCATGGTTCATGCGGGGTCTAATGTCAGTCAGGGTGGAGCAGTGGCTACGTTGTTTGGCTGCTGAACCAAAGGTCCCGATTTCTGTCCTGCTCGACGCGGTCGGATTTCGACGGAAGTGAAATTGTGAAGGCCTGTGTACTGTGCGATGTCTTTTCACGCTAAAAACACCGTATTACTGAACTTTCTGCAACCCTCATCTGAGCTATTCATAATATTGTGGTTTTGGAACGTAAAGCTCCTTCATTCGGTGGAGTACTACATTATTCTGTGCCTGACGATCGTCCTGTTCATTTTAGCTAAAACATCACAATTTAATCAATTATGTTTGGTGTGGAAATATAGCGGCGATGGCGTAGTGGCTAGAGCATCCGCCTCGCACGCAAGAGGTCCGTTGTTCGAATCCCGGTGCCGCGCAGTTCCCAACCGGTTAAAAAAAATCCGCATGATGATGGAACTGCATTAAGCAGCCTGTGGTGCGGCCTCACCGGTGACCACCGCCAGCAACGCACTCCCTCACCAGAGAAGGATTGGCCACCCTGGTGCGGTATCTGGCCACTACCTCCCACATGCATACGAGTAGGCAAGCGGGTTAGGGGGAGACAGAAGGTTAGGTTGGCAGATGAAATTAAGAGCTTTGCGGGTATAAATTGGCCGCAGCAAGCACAGGACCGAGTTGACTGGCGGAACATGGGGGAGGCCTTTGTCCTGCAGTGGACGTAGTCAGGCTGATGATGATGATGACGTGGTACGGGAGTGCAGCATTTGACACCGTATTGTTGAAATTTGTTTTCTGTAGGCACGGTGCCGACGCGCCTGGAATGAAACCTTGCTTTAGCATTTGGTTTCCATGGCCACGCCGCCAGTTTCCATCGTTCTAAAAACATAGTTCCACTTTTTACTTGAAACTAATAGGCAACTGTTTTTTAATGCCATGAATTATTAGTGCTTAGGGCCGGCTTCATGAATAAAAAATTGTTCGTAACACTTTTCGCGTTGTTATACAGTGAAGATTTAGCATTGCTCAAGGTGAGATTCATTCATAACGTTGACTGCGCGTTGGGCTTACCACTGCCTCTCCTTTCATATGCTGTAATCATAGTGAATGTTGTAAAAATGAGCCGAGAAAATTAGCAGTAGCTTCTAACTGCGCGGAGGAAAGTAACAGTTCCTTCATTCGCAGTTACCGCCAAAAGAGAGGAATTAGTGAGGCAAAATATGTTCTTTTCTAACAGAGAAAAATGCCCATACGTGTTGTGGTCATTTACTTTCTTCAATATAAAAAAAGTACGTGAACCCCTTGAGTGGTTGAACTGTTCTGGTCGAACTGCTGCCACTAAAGCTTGCAAAAAAAAGTGGCACGTTGACAATAATATCTTAACCACACGACCATAAAAGCCGTCACAGCTGCTGCTACGCAAATTTACCGCTATGCGGAACATGCCCATGTTGCGCATTCGTCAAGGTGCCTAATACAACGCCCCTATCAAAACTGCGACTTGGTCTATAGTTGTAGCATACTCATCTTGAAGCATTTGCGCAGGCAGAAAAGCACAACGATTATAAACACTGGATGATGACAAGTTAGACAAGTTGGATTATGTTCACAATTCTAATTTTCTGTTGGGAGAGTAAGCACTGTCCTTGTCTGCCTCTTCCGTCGGTCTGTTTGTCGAAGCACTGCAACAAAATTGCAAAGATGAGAAGAACAAACAGACGCAATATATGTGCGCCTGTTTCTGTCCGTCCTCATTGTCCCCGTTTTCTTGCGCAAATACTTCACGATTTCTACCCCGTAGTTGTCGTATGCGCGGCCATCGCTGAAGGGGCTTCTCCGGTGTACGTTTATTTTATGGGACATAAAAACATCCCTACTTATGCACACGCTTTCAGCACAGTTGTATTTAGAGAAACCTTCTCAGAAGGCAAGCATCGGCCCTGTGCACACTATTATCGAGGAATTCTATCAATTTCTTGTGAGTGCATGCGCAAACGTGCACATGAATCGGAAGTATCAGAGCGCATCAAGTGCGCTTCGTCAGCCGTTTTCAGAACTTCTAAATGTGCAGTGTAACAAAAACGTGGCTCACTAAAATAGCACGCACTTCTCGCTATCCGCGTCACAATCTTTCCTATCATTGTAGTCATCATCATCGCCGCTGTGAAGCATAGGTCCGCCTCCACAAAAGCCTTATAAAGCGGGGCAACTTGCTGGCACGTTCTGCGGTTCACCGCATCAATGTCGGCAAGACCAGTTCTCTCCGAAAAAAACCAGACAGCTCGGTTACTATGTTTAAGCTCACCGTTTGTCTGCTGCTCTGCACGGCTGTCTTCAGCGTGGAAGTGCAAGACTACTTCGAAAACTGCGTGCGTAGTTCGGGAAACCACTTCGTGCCGAACAAATGCATAATGGTAACTAAGAAAGACCTCCGGACCAAGAAAGCGGAGTACAGAATGTACGCTGTGGGTGCTCTGCGGAAGCACCATGAGTTGGACAAGAAATATTCGGACACAGTCTACAACGTAACACGTGCTGCATTGAAGGTAAGCGTTCCCCTTTTGATTGTACGCCAGCCCGCCTCGGTAGAGCAGTGGCTACAGTGCTTGTTTGCTGACCCGACGACAGCTGTTTCAATCCTTGGAGTGGTGATCGCATTTCGATCGGGGCGAAACAGTAGAGATCCCTGCAATGTCAGCACCAGGTGGTCGAAACTTCTGGTGCTCTCCGCTACGATGACCGTCATATCGTAGCCCCGCCGTGGTGGTCTAGTGGCTAAGCTACTCGGCTGCTAACCTGTAGGTCGTGGGATCAAATCCCGGCAGCGGCGGCTGCATTTTCGATGTAGGCGGGAATGTTGTAGGCCCATGTGCTCAGATTTCAGTGCACGTTAACAACCCCAGGTGGTCGAAATTTTTGGAGCCCTCCACTACGGCGTCCCTCATAATCATATGGTGGTTTTGGCACGTTGAACCCCACATATCAATCAATCAGTCATGTCGTAGTTTTACGGCGCGAAACTCCAAATATTGTCACAGTTTGGTTGAATGTCTTGCAGTCGCAAGAACAAATACCCACGTTTCATTTCTTAGAACTGTTCCTGGGTGCATATCGCGCTCGATGTGGTAGCTATGGTGTCGTTTTCTTGAGCACGCCACTTTATCATGAGTAGCAGAGAATGCAGCATTTCACCGTGGCCAGAAAAGCTCGCTTGTCAAGATTCAACTACGTATGCTAAAGGTATTGTTATGCGGTTGTTCGGACATGCAGAAACGTTTAGCCAACTGTTTGAAAGTGAATTTATTGGCCTCATCCAAACTTAATTCTCAATAAAGAAGCTTTAGCAGCGTACGTAGCTGAAGAGTGTGCTAACTTTATTCTTCTGTGGGTAGGGGCGAAGGCGCGTACAGAAGACAGGATATTGTGAGGCATGCCGCAGCCAAGCTGCGAGAAAATTCTGGACCATTTGGTGTTATTGAATGAGCGCCTTTATCTAGGTGCACGGTCGTATGACATTAAATAGCAAAATAAATGTGGCCGTCAAGGCCGGAATTCGGTCCCATTACTAAGTAGTCGAGCGCCATAGCCATGCTTTACACCACTACGGTAGGTGACTTGCTAGGCTCTTTGTAGATATCAAGTAGGAGGTAGTCCTACAACATGTAGTTCTCATCATAGCTCTCATCGTATTTATTCTGCCTAGGCTGCCAACTGGACTCCTCGCTTTCATTGATTTGCGATCTGCTCTTTAACTTTTTTTCTGTATATTGCCATAGCTCTTTGCTCAGCTAAGATTGATAACACCTGTTTCTTTCCATCTGTGCTTCAACTTCTTACCCTGAGCCGCATGGTACAAAAAGAATCAATTCAAACATATGCAAGGCTGAATTGATAGTACAATGCTCGACTATTAATAAAGGCAAGTATGTTTTATTTTTATATTCTCAGCATATCGTGTTCTGAAGATTCAAATGTGCTTCGTACGTGCTTCTTGCCACTGCATACATGATTGTAAAAATCTATTACCGTTCAATCCCGTCCATTTCTTGTTTTTCACTATTTATGTCGATCGCAGACCTAATGAGATGCTTCTTTTGCTGTTATATCTTGTGGTCAAGTAGCGCTCTTTTGGTGGTGCCAAAAGATACACTGGTAACAGGGACCTTCTTGGTTTTGTCGAAGTCTATTCTTGTCCCCGTTTAAAATAATCGTACGTGTGGCCAATCCCCGAAACCTAATGTCCCAAAAACTCGGGTTTCTTCAGCTATCATATTTAAAACATCTTGAATTTACAGTGTGACCAATTTCTTGTTGACCACCAAAAAAGAATAAACCTTGTTCTAAGGCGTCGTCTCGGCGACCAGATGCGGCAGCGTGTCCTGCTGAATTAAATTGAGGAAGTCACGATTAACACTTCTAACCTCGTGAAACCATCGCACTAACTTCAGTATACGGGTTCGCTCCTCCGGTGTTTTCAGTGTTCATTATCCGCCGAGTTGATGGTGCGGACTGCACAGTTCTGCTGCATGGGCATATTTCAAGCAGTAGTATCAATGAAACGGTTCCTCTATATAGTTCGGTGCCGAAGTTATGGTGCCGGTTACAGCTACAAAGTGGCTGTAACCACGCTTACAAGGTGTGCTAGCATAACGTTATCAAGCTTGATCATCTTCATACTAACGTTTCTGTTTTTTTTGGTTTTTCAAAGTACCCACGGCATGCTGATGAAGGGTGCACCCTTCGGTTGGAGTTCTTGACCGCGCCTGGTGACTGCAAAAACTCGAATTACTACTTCCCTAATATGTGTCCACCAGCGAACGACAAGGTAAGAAAACCTCTGGCACCAAGACGTTTATGCTGTAATTTTTGAACGCGCTCTGTAGATTTTCATTCCGATAGATGTTTTAAGCACACTCTAAGCTGCTTTTCACCGTTCATGTCAATCACTCTCCGTATATGTATACATGTATTTGTTAAAGCCACGAAATAGGTTATCACGTCGAAAAACAGTAGACCTCTCGCTCCACCGCCTGTGACTTTGACCGCTGAGCTTTTACAGCGCTCGTACCTCAACATTAAAACGTCGAGCTATTTGTGTACGCCACCTACCGTTGGTGGTATGTCGATCTCACGGAAAATATCACCGTTTTCTCCCCAGTACTGGCGATATGGCGCAAAGGGGCCGCGCAGTACCCCGCTCATCTCATCTACCACGCATGCGCAACTCCTCCCTCCTCCACCACATAAAGAAAAAAAATACACCCATGTGTGCTTATGCTGCGGCGCGGGGAGCATCATACGTGTTCAGCTTTCACTGAAACGATTGCGTTCATCTTACTGAGGGCACAAAGGTTACTTCACTCGCCGTAGTCCCCTCCTTTTTGAAAGAAGCACACATTCAAACCCAGCGAAGTAACAACTGAGCCTTGTTGATTCGCGCTCGTCCAGCCTATACCTGTCAGTGCGTTTTGGAGTTGATTTTGATGGGCAGCGTGTTATGCGAGAACTGGGAACGTTTTTAGATCGCTCTCGTCTTCTGTATTTTTGTGCGTCGTTTCTGCGGGAACAGCATGCTGCACATTTCGATTTGCTTGCCATTCTTCTTGTAGCAGTACAATTTGTCATATCGCACTCATTGCTGTGCCACTGCATTGATATTGGCTGTTTCCTTCATACCATCCAATTTAACGCCGACAAATTGTATATTCATATGAACATTTTCTAACGAGCCATACAATTCCTCTCTGTATACCGCCTAGCTCTTTAGAAACGGCACGTCCCCTAGTAGTAGGTGATCAAAATTGGTCACTCAGTTGTCAGAATAACTAGCCGAAACCCTAGTACCTTAGTTCTCTCAAACATGAAGTTAGACGAAGCATTTGATTAGTTGTGAATGCTGAAATATTAATGCAAGCAGCCGCTGCCTAAGCGTCAGTGCACCAATTTCCTACGACAAGAGAGGCTAAAGAAGCAGCAGCGACAAGCAAGGTACGTAGGCGCGGGCGGCCGCTGAGGAATTAGGGTTAAATGACGAGACCAGCGTGTTGAGAAGGCGGACACAAATAGGTCGAGAAGCTTTGGGTGAAAAGCGGTTCAGATTGTATTGCCAGCGTCCGCAGCACGGGTATTTCTGAGAGCGGCAATTGAAGCATTGCTGTGCGTGGAGGGAACACAAGGGCGACACAATTTTTATGTTTTACAAATGAAATTTACTTCCCGAAAAATAATTATGTGGGGGAAATGGTTAAAGAATCCATGAAAGCCTAAATTATTCAAACATTTTTTTCTAAGCACCCTCTGCTAGAGCACATCCCGTAACTATATTCAGTGTAGATACAGGCCCTGCTGGCGTGGAAAGATGCACCTCGTAAAGCTCGTCTGTGATGACGCGGCCTTTCCTGCGTTCTGGTGTTCCGCACCTGCATGCGTTATCTGAACTACTGCGGTGGGATTTTTTTTTGCCATGGGCCAAGTTGTGAGCTGCGTTTCGTCGTTGGAGATCATGTTGAGTACGGTGTCCAACCGGCGGCGGGACGAGGCGGACAACACGCCGGGCATGCGCCTCTGTAGCAGCTGAAGCGATATGCTGTGCTAGGACCTAATAGCAACAAAGTAACGCCAGGCAACCCATGCCTTTTGTACGAGACACCAAGAACTGCGCTTGTTCGATTTTCGTGTATCGGTATTGCTGTGCGGCTCGGTTTTCATTGGGCCTACTATTACTCCTGTTATCGTTGATCAGATCGCTAAGGTACCCAGTGCGCTACTATTTGCATATCTTCATACGTTGCACGTCACGATAATTTGTGCGAGCGTGATTTGAAAAGTAGCACACGTAAGTCCAGGCATTTTTCGTATACTTATTGCCCTACTTGGTGCTCGGTGTGGGAAGTGTTAAATCTCGTTATGGTGACCATTGAAAAAGGTAATTGTTACTTTGACGTTCCTAAGTGCTCTTTCTTGCGGGAGCTGAATAACACAATCAATTACATTTTAAGGAACATGCGTGTGTGTAAAACAAATCAACAACGCTGCAAATGTGGAAGGTACGCTGCTGGTTTGTTTAATACATCTGTGGAAGATTTATTGAGTGCTGAATAAAAATGTCAAGAATAAGTTTACAACTGAAAGCAAGGAGCACTACGCGGCGGTTTGACACTCTCAAGTCTGATGGTTAACATTGGTTTAGCTGGCGTTGTTTAATGCTCATTCGTAATAGACTTGACGTGCCTGGAGTTCTGGGGCCTATAAAAAGTACATTTAGATTACACCTCGCGCAAATGACCAGAAAAGACGTCACTCTTTGACCGCATCTTCCGTAATATGTTTGACTTTTAGTTCCGTCGAAAGTGTTCCTCCTCACGCAGGTGGCGCTAAGCCCCACGGGCAGCTGATGAGCTTCTGTTTCCTGGACGCATGGGCTTCTGTGAGAGCTTCGCAACAGGCTACCTTTGCCTTGATGAGGCCATTGAGCAACGCCTCAATCTACACTTGCGCGATCTACAACATCGTATCTTGTTACGCAGACCAAATAATGTTGCCAAGAACGCCATGATGAAAGCGCTTATAATTTACAATAAACGAGCATTTTAGAACTTGGCATTGTCTAATCCGGCTATCTCAAAAGCGTGTATTCAGCTTTTTTGATGAGGTGAAGGCTGCTGAGGGCTGCGTTCAGTGTAATTTGACTAGTGCCAATAGAGCACGGCCAACATAAGAAACCCACTTGTTCCCTTGTGCATCCGCCTATGACCATTCGAAGATGAAAGGCATCTTCTTTTTTTTATCGGCGTACTCATCCAGTTCCGCCGCTCTCCGGGTGCTTTTCATACATAAGTGGTTATGCAGCGCCTCCGAGATCTTGTGATGCAGTCAGGTGACGTCAGTTGAAATGAGAGCATAGACCCATGATGACTTCACAAATTCAAGCAACAATCAACGTCATCACGTCATTATGTTCACATCAATAATGCCAGCGCCTACAGAAAACACTGAAATGGGACGCCTGCGCCATTCTCGGGTTTGACGAGGTATCTAAGGGATTTACTTTAAAGACACACCACAGGTCTGTGACCATCTGATGATATTCATGGCTCTGTCTGCATTTGGGTGATAAGTTAGCGCTATGTCTGTAAAGTGTGATAGCGGAGTAACCGTACTCTTGGATTGTGAGCCGCATGATTTGGTTGGCGAGCAGCCTGTATGCACTGGAATATGAGCATTCACGTAAGGTGTTCATCACCGAGAAAACAGGCTATACGTTATTTTGCGGGAAGTAGCACAACTGCATTCAGATACCCAATTCCGATAGTTTCTAAAGGATGAGTTGCGAAACTTCATGACCCCTACGCTGTGGTGTTGAAATTCTTTGTTTTACATGACAAGCTGCTCGCATGCTCACTTCAGCCTTGCTTGTCAGGTCTACATGTACGTTGATGACACCTGGTCATCAAAGTAAATGCAGAGTCTGTCTTACTAACAAATTTATGATCAACCAGCACACTTTGTCGGTAACCTAAGCTTTCAAGGTTTCTATTCATCTTTGCCTTCGTCCTCATGATCATCAACACCTTCTCTCTATTTTCTTTACCATCCCCTTTACTTAACGTTCATTTGCACGCCAGAAAAATTTATTCAGGTAGACATTTCAGCTTCCCTCTCGTGATAAAATTCTCTCAGTACCTTGCGTCGATGAAATAACGAAGTTAGCTTGAATAACCATATCCCTCTTAAGCTACATCGGTTTTGTTGGTATACTAAGCGTTATACGCGGAGATATCAGCCACTGTACTCACGTCAACCAATGTTTTTGTCTATTCAGGCTCCCCGGCATATCAGTCTTGAATTCCTTCATGTGTATATTGGGATAAGGGTGAACAGTGGAAGTGCCTCAGGCAGGCTGGCTGACGTTTTGATACGAGGACATACTTTTCTCAAAGGCATCTTGTTTTCTTTGGCGTGTTCGTTGTAATGGGGTAACTAGTGAGTACATGAACAAGAAAACACACGACAAACACTTGTATGTTTTCTCGTTCAAGTATTCACGACTAACACGCCAAGGACAACAAGGCGCCTTTGACAAAGGTAGGTCCTTTTATCGAAATGTCGGCCAGCCTGTCTAAAGACACTTTCACTGTTCACTCTGATTACCCCACTATAGGTGTTTCCATCTGTCAGCTCTAAACTAGATTTTGGATTTTCACGTGTAAATTGTTGCGCTAAATCTGTCATAGCAACTCCTTTCGTGAAAAAAAGGCATAGGCTACCGTTCGTCGAGGTCATTCCGTTCCGGAGTTTGCGCAAGCTTTGTTAATCACGCTTGCGTCGTTTTTAGTAAGTTCGATATGCCTTGGAAGGTTGTTCCTTCGTGTTACGAACCATTGTTCTCGGTCTTTACCAACTCTATTTCTGTTTTCCTTTCAGATAACCGGGGTATGCCAAGCACAACTCTTCCTGTACGGCACCGTCTATCTAGTCGAGCGTTCATGGTGCGAGCATGTCAACGAAGTGCGTATCGGTTTACTTAGAGCAACGTATAGTTTGGCGAAGTTGCTCTTAATTTGCTTTTACTCTTGTTCGTATTTTAGCGTTGTCGGTCGCATAAAAAAGACGGTCACCTTAAATTATTTTCTATGCAAAGTTTTGAGAGGAAATCTTGGATATGAGTGTAGACCGCACACTCTCCAGCGATAACGAGGCGCGGTGAGTGCAACAATATATTGTGTTTTATGCTGTTACAATTTCTTCCCTAAAACAACACATTTAGCTGAACAGTATCATAGTTGTCCCATTTTTGTCCTGATTTATTTAGCAAATATCCCAGGAGTTTTGTTTCTACTTGTGACTTTTCCTTTCGTGTTTTTTCCTGAGCGCGGCTTATATTTTTTTTGGCAAACTCATAACTCGGGTATCTCGTTTAGCACTTTCTGAATCGAAAATGTGAAATTGATCATCTCAAATAGTTTCTTGCACATTGCATTTTATCACCGCAACTTCGTAAATGGGTCTTTCATTTTTATCGTAATGATACTTGTTTGAGATACATATTTGACATTCCTTGTACTCCTTAGTTTATTTACGCGGCACCCCCCCTCACCTTTTAGTTTGCACTACTAGACTGCTGACACACAAGGAGGGAGGGGAGGGGGATCAAATCCCGCAAAGGTGGGGGCATTTTTTTTTTTGTATGGAAGCGGAATGCTTGAAACTTGTGTACTTCGATTCAGGTTCGCGTTAAAGAACACCACGTGGTGAAAATTTTCAACCCCCCCCCCTCTTGTGTGACGTCTTCAATAATCATGTTGTGGCTTTCTGAAGAAAAAACACATTAGCGTTTATTTTCAAATCACGGTAACTGCATTATGTTTAACGACGCCTTTACGCAATTTTTCGTTTCAGGCTGGCCATCATGTGAAGCCCGACTCCTCATCTGTGACACCCTGAAGCGCGCATGCGCCAGGCGAGAGCCGCAGACATGACAAATAAAGTTTCAAAAATGTATCTGGTGTGGACCTCGTTTTATAACTCCATGCACCTGAGGGTGGGCATTTCGTCAGATGCGGTATGAAAAGTCCCACGATAGGAAACGCTATGTTTGGGGCAACGAGGTGTAACTCTGTACATGAGCGTCTGAGTGTCCGTGTGTGGTTCTAGACGGCTGCATCTTATCTCATCAATTTCTACGAATGGATACTCCTGTTTTATTTGTTCTAAAGGCACTGTAGTTGGCGTCGTAATGATTGACTGGTGCGAGGAATGATCTAAGGCAGTTGCCGCAGGTCCATGCCGCTCGGACTGCAAGAACCGATGGCGACGAAAACAGGTTGTCAGAGCTACAGTGCTCTACTTTAACGTTACGTCAGCGTTACTAACATCCTCGCCGACAAGAAAACTGCGGCCCCTACGGCAAATGATAAGGGCACTTAAGTGCGAGTCTCAAGCGGCCATCGATGAGCGCATTCATCTAATTTACGTTAAACTTGAGTCGAAACGCTAGCTAAAGCGAGACAAGGCAGTATCCTTACCACCCAGAAAATCGTTACGTTTTTCTCTTCGGGGTGATCTACCATAGGAAAAAAACGGGCTACGTTATATGGTTCTTAGCAAATCATTTCGCATCACATGAAAGTGGCGTTTTTTTTCCTCGTAACTCGTCACTGTGGAAAAGGTCACTTGGAGTTGCGCATTTTCGTGAGCGAATTTTTTGCATATACATTTCCTGGTGTTTGACGCGACATGCAGTTGGGTATGCCGATACGCCACAACTGCACTGCCAGCCGTGGCCTTTAGCTCGGCAAAAGACACTTCTTACTGTGGCTTAACTAGCGCTATTGCCGCCATTCTGTGTCATAACCATGCCTTGATCTCGGCACCAACACCAAAAAAACTGCGAGGTTCATTCCAATCACTTCGTGCCCCGGACCCTTGCCAGCTATATACTACGTTCAAAATGTAGGCAGATCTGGTGATGTCCGTGACGAAAACCGTTGCCACGCGCCTATAACAATTATTCATCGTACGGGGAAATATTTTACATGCAAATGCGCCGCATTTTCACATGGCTAGAGTATTCGCGACGATAATGACATCGGCAAATGCATGGGGCACGTGTTTGCTTACATCCCTACTATCCCAGTGTCCTCGACGTACCTTTCAGTCTTCATCACGGTATAGCTTCGTTTGTGACAGAATAAAACACGGTACCTCTGAAACCACTCTTAGCATGGGCCGTAGTATCTTCTGCGGCTACTTAAACGTGGCGGCATGTTGCATTTCGCGTAAAATGCACTTGGCGCGTCTTTTTACGAAAAGCTTCTGTTGCTTTCTAATTAGCGATTCAAGCAGTAGAGCATACCATCGCGACTTTTAGCTACGGAGAAATTTCATGTTGCTGTTCTCTCATTTGGACCTATAGCCAGCCTTATCATGAATACCTTGATGCCATAATTTCTAAACTAGGCTGGCTAGATAGTCTCACCGAAGTTACACTAATATACCCAAAGCACATGTCTCATGACACCCTATTCCCGACGCCCATTGAAGTCTACTGCTGTCGGTGAACGCCACTAGTTGAACTTAAGTGCTGTAGCGTCACTCGGCCTTCTGTTAATGTGCTGCCTCGATAACGACGATATCGACTTCTCTCCCGCAGTGTATAGGAACGGAGCTATGGCGGCAAAAATTGCTTCTGTTGGTCGCAGGCGAAAGTTGATGCACTTAAAGCCGATGCCAAGCCTCGCTTGGTTGCACCCACCGCAGACCACCTGTGGCGCTGTTTGTGATGTCAAATAGTCTACTCTTCTCAGGGAAGACCACTAATTGGAGAAACACTCCGAGTTAAAACCACCAGTACTAGTCTGAGAAGGGGAGTGAAGTCAGCGTACAATGTTTTGCTTGATCGTGTTGCGATGGCAGTATCTTTTTTCTTAAGATACATGGTACTTTACTGAATATATCCGAAATACAGATAAAAATATAGACGTATCGCGGTACACATACAAGATATACAAAGAGTATCTTACGTAGTATCTAAGATATAAGTATGTTCAATACTGCCCCATCGTGCGTGCGTCTGCCTTCTCTGGGAATCTCGTAAGTTATTCTGAATAACCAGGGGCTATCCTGCCTGTGTCCCGGTTTATGTTCACTTCTTATTGATTTTAACTATAATATCCTTAACCCCGCTTTCATCCTTGACATACTCTGCTCTATTCTTGTCTCCTAAGGTTACACCTCTTATTTTCATTTCCATCGCTAGTAGCGTCATCCTCAATTTAAATCAACCAGAGTGACATTGCGGGCTTGTTGGTGATAAATTTTAAAGCATTTTTTGTGTAGCGCTAGGAGAAATACGGAAACAGGGATCGGTAGAGGGACAAGACAGAGGGCTAATAGCTGCAACATGTTTATTTCTAAAATCAGACCACCTTTACTTCATAATCGTCAGGCAGACATATAAGCACGAGAAAACGCTCAGATAAATGCGCGACTATGTCATCTACCTAAAATAAATCGTAACAGATAATACCATGTGTTACCTCATACGCAGGAAACCGATCTCCTTGGTTGGAGATGCTATCGAAGCCTTGCTAGTACAGACGTCGCCAAGAGCGTCAATAAGTCCGGATTCTACGGTCAAACAAGTCATCTCACATTTTTGTCGATCAACAATGACTGCAATTGCGAACAAAGGCCGGACACAACATGCATGAATGTGGAGAGCGAGAAAACCATCCGGCGGCAGTTTATTCAATTTGTAATTGTGCTCTCACAGTCGCTCATTCACACAAACTGGTTTGGCCGACTTATTGTTTTCCCTGCGAGAACAGAACGCTGTAAATAACAAAGGATTTGCACTCAACAAATTTGTGTGCATGCATTTTTCTGCACCAGAGCCTTTTCCCTCGAGAAGAATTTGCCATAACGCACAATTCCCAAATTATTTAGGCACTGAAAATACCACCCTAATATTATCCCGAAACGACACCTTTTCTTTTGTGGTGACAGGGGGTGAACATATGAAACAATGACTGTGCGTCTCAATTTCGTTCATCGTGAGTGTTAGGTTAGCTTGAGTGTTTCATTATTGAAGTCGGACATATTGACGCTCTTGGCGATAATCCTATTAACAAGCATTCGATAACAATGTCAAGCAAGAAGCTTGGTTTCCTGCGTACGTGGTGATGAATGGTATGATCTGTTACGATTTATTTTATTTTAAGCATATGACATAGCCCCACCTTTATCTGAGTGATCACACGTGCTTATCTGTCTCACGACTATGTCTTAAAAGTGGTGAGTTTAAAAATAAACACAATGTTGCTAGTAGCACTCTGTCTATCTATTCCGGCTATCCATTCCTGCTTCCCTATTTCACCTAGCGCTACAAAAAATTCTTTCAAATCTCAATTTAGGTTCAGCTTATATTCAAGCCCCACGTTTATGCTCCGTATAGGTAAGTACCGGCAAGATGCAGCTGTTATATACCTTTCTTTTGAGAGTGAGTGGTAGACCACCATTCATGATTTGACAATGCCTGCCGAATGTGATCTAACTCATGTTTATTTTCCTATATATTTCCCTTTCATGGTTGAACTCCGCGGTTCTTAAGTCTACTAAGTAGACATATTCCTTTGGAACTTCCAGCGTTTCTCCGCCTACTGCAAATAACTGTTTCTTGTCGAGGCTGTTGCACATTACTTTGTTTTCATTCATATTAACTTTCAAACCTACTCTTCTGCTGTCTGTGTCCAGTTCAGTAATCATGACCTGTGATTAATCCCCTCAGTTACTCATAAAGGCAATGTCATCAGCAAATCACTGGTTAAAAAGATACAGTTTATTAACTCTTATTCCTAACTCTCTCCAATTAATGGCCCTGAAAACCTCCTGTAAACAAGCGGTTAAGAGCTCTGGCGGCATAGTGTATCTCTGTCTACACTCTCTTTTTTTGGGGGATTCTGCCACTTTCTTTAGGGAGAACTAAGGTGGCTGAGAATCCGCTGTTAATTTCCCCCAGTATGTTTATGTAGCGTTCGTCGATTTGCTGACTCCGTAGTGCCTGCATTACTGCTGATGGCTCGACTGAGTCAAACGCCTCCTCGTAATCTATGAAGGTTATGTATAGGGGTCGGCTGTATTCAGTGCCTTTCTGTCACCTGATTTATAACATGAATAGGGTTTATTGTGGGTAGCATACACGAAAGCTTGTCTGGTATTTTGTTTGATATAACTCTAATGCCCCACCAATTCTATTATCTATTGATTTTGTAACTAGTTTGTAGATAACGCACAGTAAGCTGATCGGCCTGTAATTTTTTAAGTCTTTGGCGTCTCCATTCTTATGAATTAGGATGATATGGCGTTCTTTCAAGATTTGGTACTCGTCCCGTCAAGGAACACTTCGTGTATAAGGGGGTCAGTTTTTGTAACACAATTTCTTCACCATCTTTCAGTCAATTCATTGTTATGTTATCCTCGCCGGAGGCTTTGCTTCTTTGTATGCCTTCTAGGGCTTTCATTACTTCCCTATTGTTACTGGTAGGCCATCGAATTTCTGCGAACTCTTATTGCTTAGTAGGTCAGTAGTACTCACCTGAATTGGAAGTGTGCTACTACAAAGTTAGTAACTGCATCAGCCACATAAAAACTTGGTCAACTCTACTCGGTTGCCGTTATCTGCGTTGCGATTCCAATGACACTATTGCCAAAACACACACACACAAATATATATATATATATATATATATATATATATATGAAAGAGGTGTACACCTAAGGGCTCGTTTTTCCGTGTTTTAACACAATATTAATGAGATCTAACAGACAGTAATGCCAAGGAATGTACAGGGGAAGTAATTAGAACCAATGGAATGTAAATAAGATAAGAAGAAAGAAAAGTGGATGAAAAAATAACCAGCCCTTCTGCTCACGGCTGGTTATTTTTTTCATCCACTTTTCTTTTTTCTTATTTACATTCCATTGGTTCTAATAACTTCCCC